TATAGGCACGGGTGCTTCTTCCATCTCCTTGATCTTGTCTCGGAGTCTTGCATTTTCCTTCAGTACTTCGGTCATTTGATCTTCTTTCACTTCCAACTACATCCTAGCAACTTTGAATAGGTTTCCTAATTCCTTGACGTTGGCCTTGTTCCTATTGTTGGCCATCTGAAATTTCAAAGTTTCTTGCTGATTCCTTTCTGCGTCAGTGAGGGCTATCTGATACTCTTCTGTAGACACAGAAAAGTCTTCATTTCTAGGTCGTTTCTTGGAACTACTTTCCCCCTCATACTCTTTCAGCTGATGGGCCAAGTCCCTTTTCTTTTCTGTTAGAAAATAGATTTCCATCTTTTTGTCTTCCAAGTTCTGGCGGAGGTCCCTATTTTCCAATTGCACTTGATAGAAGCGTTCTTTAGGCACATCGTGCAGCAACTCGGTGGGTTGAAGATACAAGGAAATCTCTTTTTCAAAAGGTAACATAAGAGTTTTGACTCTTTCCTTTAGCCAATTCACGTAAGGATCGAAAGCTAGTACTTCTTTTGGCCCAAAGAATTCCTTTCCTTTCTTTCCAATATGTGCCTAAGCAATCTCCACCCTTTTTAGCAATTCTGGGTCTTCTCCTTTTTTGAGAAACATAGGTTCAACCTCCTTGGTTGTGGGTGGACGCCTCATGGCATAACCTAATTGGCGAAGAGAGAGTACCGGATTGTAGTTGATAACCCCTCTTGTTCCCATGAGTGGAACATTAGAGAAACCTGCACAGTGGGAGATGACTTCGGAGCTATCCACTTTAAGTTTGTACCATTGAATGTCAAAAGAGGTGAGTGTCATCACTTTTGATGCCCATGAACGAGGATCTTCTTTGAATGGCCCTTTGGTGGGTAACTGCGCCATGAACCATGTGTAAAGTATTGGTATACAACATACCACTACTCCTTTCTTTCCATGCCTGGAGTGGGTGGCGTGGTAAGTATCTGCTAATAGCGTAGGTATAGGATTCTTATTCATGAAGACGCACAGAGATGCCAAGTCCACGATTTCTTTAATCTCAGGGAATAAGACAACTCCGTAAATTATGGCGGCAAACAGAGCATAATAAGCATCCCAATTTCCCATATTCGCCATTTCCTTAGCCTTACTTGCCAAGAAATCTGTAGGAAGACCGGAATTGACTTTGTTGCGTCTCCATTTTCCTTTTACGTCATTAAGGCTCAAATAAAGAACCTTAGCAATAACCTCAAAATCAGGTTCAATAGGGATTTGAACAAATGGAACATGTCTGGTGAGCTTAATGTGGAGAAGATGAGCATACTCCTCAAGAGTAGGTGCTAACTGGTAGTCTTGGAATGTGAAGCATCTCAACTCTGGATCATAAAATTGTAACAACGTCTGTACAGCCTTGTCGTTAACCCGAGCATCCAGCAAAGATAGGAGATTCCCATACCTTTCACCGAAAACGCCCATTTGTTGACAATTCATGAGGTCTCTGAGCTCTTCAAGAGAGGGCCAAGTACTAGGACGAAACTGATAGCTGAAGTTATCCCTCTTCGTCTTCGGGGTGACATCAGTGTTGTTCATCATTCTTTGGAGGAAAAGGAAACCCTGGATAGATCCTGGAAATGACAATGCATATGCGAATTAATTATTGATACATATAGATGTATATATATATATATATATATATATATATATATATATATATATATATATTTTGAAAGGTAAATATGCCATGATGTGTGTGCAAGTGATCATGGGGTTACTACTTCCATGATACTGATTTCTGTTGTACTGCCTCTTCGTATCCTTGTCAATACCGAGATTACAGGTCTGAAATGTAACTGGAAGAGGACCATGAAGATCAAAGATAAGTCCTCAGAAAATAAATCTGAGAACCTCATAACTGTTGGCAGAAATGCAGGACATAACCAAAAGTAATCGTCTGAATATAGTCACTAACTGTACCTGCAATGATAAATCCCTCCCCACTCACGTGTGAAGACTAGGTCAAGGTGAGATAATGGTAACTCGAAAATCACGGGTCCGCCTGAAAGTAAAATCATCGCAACACAGACGTGCATGACGAAAGTACCTTCAATTGAACCTCATCCGAGCGTGGTATATGACATGACTGCACTAATCGGACCACGTCCTATAGCCGTCATGCCCCCACTCTATTCCTAGGTGTCCTAGTGCACCCTGGCCTGGGTACTGGGCCTTTTACCTTAATAGTAACATTCCCACCCAAGAAAGAAGCAGATACAGTACAACAGCAGTATATGGAAGGCAGTAGAGTGTAATACATGCATATGCATAGGTATATTTAAAAAATGAACGAATGAACTGAAAGCATAAAAATAAACACCCTAAGAAAAGAAATCAAGAGCTAGGAGCGACTCCGGGACGGACCAGCGTTTGGTCGACCTAATCCCCAGTGAAGTCGCCAGCTGAAACAACCGGCTAAAAATCATCAAACAATGAAGTCGCCATCGAACGTCTTTTATCCCACATGAAGGGAAAGGTAAACATCGAGTAAACCTGAGAAGGGTGAAATCGAGGTCGAACGACCAAGAGATAAGGGTAAGGGAGTCTGTTACGCGAGGGGAAGGTATTAGCACCCCACACGCCCGTAGTACTCTACGGTATCCACTCTTGTTGTCTATCTTATGGGTGTGTTTAATCTATGCTTACCGTCTACTATACTACTGGAGAATGCATGCAAAAGAAAGGGGAAAAAGAATGTAGGGAAAATAAAATTGTGCTCGCTTGGGCCCTACCCCAATGCCTACGTATCCCTCTTAAGGAATTAGAGCATTCGTAGTTCGGCTTATGTTTTTGTTTGTTTGTATTTTCTTTAATGAACAATATTAATTTCGCCTTCTGCCGCAACTCGACCTTTGGAGACTTACGCGTCAGCACAGAAGTGAATTAACATGCTCTCTGAAAAGATTTGGAGAAAATGTGCTTGGGCGTACAAAAGTTTGAATTTGGTTTAGGTTTTTAATGAACGATATTAATTTCTCCTTCTGCCGCAACTCGACCGTTGGAGACTTATGCGTCAGCACAGAAGTGAATCAATATGCTCTTTTTGAAAAGGTTTTGAAAGGAAGGCCCGAAGGCATAAAGAGTTTGCATTTGTCGGTGTTTTTGCTTGTAGATAATGGCTAGTTAATCTCAAGAGAGAGATTTTAGCCATGTCTCTACTTATTCATGAAATGAGTCTTTGAGACTTGAATCATACTAAAGCTTAGAACAAGAGAATAATAAGGTCGAGAAGAAACCCGCTTATCATCTCTCAAACTTAGCCAAGACATGGTTCTTGTCAGTAAATTTTTATGTATTTTTGAAGTTTGTAAAAAAGGAGAAGTTTTTGTTATTATAAATGCATATGCGAAAAGGGAAAGAAACGTTATAGGGAGACTAGCCTAAACCTGATTCTATCACACTTCATATGATCTATGGGAAAAGATAAATGCGAGGTAAAAATAGAAAGAAAGTATACCAAACGGATACTAGCCCGTAGAGCAAAGCAGAAAAAGCAAAGATACTTGATGTTCTTGCGAGCTGCTAGCACCAACAAAGAAAAGAGTCAGAAACCCCATTACTGAAGCATCTTTTAATGTGAAAATAAATCACAATAGGCATCTCGAGCATATCCATATAAAAACCTGCATAAGACTCGAATCTTGACGAGCAAAGTGAATTACCAGTTTCGAGTAACCGAATAATCATGAATTAATTCCCAAAGGCAAAATAATAAAAAGAATATAATAAGTTCTCCTCTTTTCTTTTCTTTTTTTGATTTAACCATTTGAAATAACAATTAAATAAATGAATAATAATAAAAGGAGAAAAAGAAATAAAAGAATTCCAAAACGACGACGTTTATTGTAAATGACCCCTTCCAGCTCCTTTACGCAGAAAGCCTTTCTTCTACATGTCGACAACAACAATGGCGATGCCGTCATGACTCCACCCCTTCTCCCCTGTTCCGATTCAACTTTCTTGTTAACACCACCTAACGTCTCCCTCTGAATTCGATTCCTTTGCTTGCTTTCGTCAATTTCTCTTCCTCTATTCCAAATCTAACAACGAAACTTAAGCTCTACATTTCTTCCGATCAAGATTACATGGTGGATTTATCGTTCGCCGCATTTTACCCTTCGCGGTTACGGTACAGACCAAGCAAAAAAAAGTCGTAAAAAGAAGAAGATTGAGGATTACCTATTGAAGACACGTTGGTAGCGCTTCAGAAATCCAGAGGTGAAGTAATACAGTTATTGTCCTTCTTGATCTTGTCTGCTTCGTCTTGATTCTCTCATCACTGTCTTCACTTTTTCTTTGGTCTGGGAGTTGCGTGCGTTGGCGATAGGAGAAGAGACGAAATGATGACAATTATGAAGATTATCGCAAGTTGAGAAAAATGAACTTTGTATGATGAATCAGAGAGAAGTGAAGCTTTGAGAACTAACTGAAGGTCGAACAATGGCGAGTGGAGGTGAAGACGGAGTTTAGAGAGGGGAAATTGAAGATTATGAGAGTTCAGAAAAGTTGAGAGTGAATGATGGAGAGGGAAGAAGTTGTTTTTGAAGCTGATACAATGATGAAGTTTTGAAACTGGAAAAGAGAGAGTAACTTTTTTTTTTGAAACTTGGAGGGAGTTTGGATTATATAGGTAGTTAAGGGAGATGGAAATGGTTATGTGAGAATCGATCCGAACCATTGATTTGGGTAGAGTTTGTTAGAGATTGAAGGGTGAGATTGAGAGTTTGTTACAAAGTGGTTATGCTAGTTGGGAATTCTGTTTGGAGGTAGTTAGAGAGTTATAAAATTGTTAGGAGGAAATTGATGAGCTGTTAATTAATCTTCTGTTTCCCATTCTTTAAGCTTCTGTCCTACAAACAATTCTTCCAACAGCCAGCTGCTTTGACAAAGGAACATCCAAAAATGGCATATTAGGATACCATTTGTCAGTTAATTCAACTTGTACCACCTCTTTATTCTGATTAGATAAATTTCCGTTTTGAAGTTTCAACTTTCCCACCAAGCTTAGTCTTGTGTTGATTGCTAGCGTTTGTATTAGTGTGCAGCTCAGTTTTTTTTATGCGTTTTAGAGATGGGTGCAAGCCTTCTGAAGTTTCCACAACTAATGTAGGATTTGAGATCAATCTGGATGACATAGCTGTAATATTGTAAGATTTACACGATCCATTTACCACACTTTGAAAACTTGATTGAGATTCTGGCTGAATCTGAGCTTTAAGTTGAAATGTGCACCGGTAATTTTTTACAAAAACACAAACAGGGCAACACGGATCCTTGCAGTGCATGAAATGACGAAGCAATACCCTATTATGATGACAATGCGGGTATGGATAATGACGACCTAGGGTGCATCCATCTATGTGCTTGCATAAATTCTGTGCACTAGAACAACAGCGTTCTTGGCATCGTCCTTCAGGAGCAGAACATCGTCGCGCATGAAGTAGAAATAAGAGCCACCTTTGTTCATTTTTGTGCGCATTTTTGAGATCACTTCCTGAGTCTGGTGGATCAGCTGCGCCTCTAGGAGCAACAACTTGGCTCATAGATACATATGATGATAAGTTATTGTAATGAGCTTCATCCTTTCCTGATATTCTTTGATGAAAATCCACATGGAGATGCTGGTCGTGTGAAATATTGTTAGACATGTGGTTACCATCTTGTGAGTCAGGCCATTGGTTTAGAACTACTGGTTTAGAATTGGATTGTGCACCAACTGTAAGACAGCTGAACTTATTTTGATATTCTGCAACTAATTGGTGTGGATGCCACATTTGTTGCAAATTTTGAGGTGCTGATGACGATAAATCGTGCTGACCTGATGGAAAGGAAAGGTATTGAGCACTCCTAGAACAATCTTCAGAGGAATTTTGCTGGAACTGATTCTGCATCTCAGACATATGGAACTATTCAGGAACATGAGAATTGAACACTTCTTTATCGTGTTCAATTCCAGGCTCTATCTTCACTTGGTTTTCTAGATTGGAAGACAACTGAGACTGATTGAAACCATCATCATTGACCAAATGCTAAGGCTGCTGACTATGTAGTTTCTACCGAAACTGTTGCTGTGATTGTGAATACTGTTCTAGCTGTTGAAATTGCTGGGGCCTTTGCTGATACTGTTGTTGAGAATGCAGAAAGGCATCTCTTGAAGTCGATGAAGACTGAAACTTTTCCAATTGATTGACTGCTTAAATATATTGGCAACAGGATCTGATTTCGAGTTGTCTGAGACAAGGGAGTGTTTCTGGCTCTATCTTCCATTCCTCTAATTGCTCCAGCTTCCAAACTTTTAATACATGAAGCTGCGGAAAGCTATGAGATTTGCAAACCATAGTTGTTCCCGTGTATGACTCTGCAAGTAAACACAGTGTTTGAAGATTTGGAAAATCTTTCAAAAGTATCATGGGATCATCCTGTAGTTTTGAATGTGATAGGGTAAGTTCAACTAGGCTTAGTGGAAATTGGGACACAATAGATGTACTGCTCAAGCTTCCCAGCAAATACATGTCCGTGAGATATGCATTATTTTCGAAGGATTTCATGTGTAAAGTCCAAGGTCGACCTTTTTCATCTCTAGATTTCAGTTTCAGTGATTGAAGGTATTCTAATTTTGTAATCCAGTCAGATACTGTCTCAAGTTGAGCTATCATCGGCTCTTGGTTTAGTGACATTGATTGGCATGCTAATCCCAACTTTGTTATATTGACCAATTTGTCCAACCCACCCTTCACTGGAGTCTCCTCATCCACAAACAGTCCCCACAATGTTTGGAGGTCAGATATATAATTACCTTTTGGTTGAGGTGGAAATCTGGTGCGGTAAGTCTCACTCAAGAACAAGTGTCTGAGTTCCATCTTCCAAATTGAGGTAGGAAGAGTATGTATGTTTGAGGTCAAGTGTTTGCAGCTTCAGCAACTTGCTTATAGATGATGGAAGTGACTCTAAGTAGGTCCATCTCAAGCCAAGATACCTTAGCCGGGTAAGTCTTGATATGCGCTTAGGCAAGTTGGGCTTGTAAACGCGTTCAAGATCAAGCACCAGAAGGAGTAAAAAGCAATCACTTAAAATACATCCCTTGAGAAAGTTACCTACTTGTTTTCCAGGTTTACTCCCCTCTTGACTATCAAAGGAATGAAAGGAGAGAACGTCCTTGTAATAGCTTTGAAAGGAAGTTGAATCAGCATTGTCACCATGAATGTGATCGTTCCAGATATCATCTTTATCAAGATGATCTGCAACCCGGCGAATAATGAACTTTTTTGGGTATGCACTTGAATCCGTGGCAGATCGGCGACCTTGTAGAAATCTGGAGTCGTTAGCCTTTGACAACCAGAGTTTCCGCAAAGCACTAGGGAGACGACATGTTTTCACCTTTCCATTGCGCTTTCTCTTGGCTACTTGGACCATGTTCCGATCTATCAACTCTGTCAAGTACCTTTCTGCAACGAGCTCCGGGGGAACTTCGTCATCTTCTGCTTGATGAATTAGACTCTCGGCAACCCACAAAACAACCAACCTTCTGTCAGGGATCCCAAATTCAGCAGGGAATAGCACAAAGTAAAATAGGCATCTTCTCAGATAATAAGGTAAGTTTGTATTAATTGTGTCAAGCGTTTCAGACCAACATTGTATTTGATTTTCATTGAGCTGCTGCCCTCCTAGCACGCTTAACCATTCCTCATGTGTAACATCTTTATGTGAAAGCAAATCACTTATTTTCAGTATTTGTGATGGCAGTCCCCCATATTTCATCACAATTTCTTTTCCAACCTTGATAAGTTCTGTTTCTGAATTGGGGACCTTCAAATGTCTTGTGAACAACAGCCAACTAGTTTCATCATCTAATAACTGTAATGGGTGAAGAATGATTCTACCTGCTGCATGTTGGGCTATTGTTGCATTGCGAGTAGTAAAAAGAACTCTGCTTCCTATTAACATATCAGGTATGACCCTGTTCAAGGTATCCAAGTATACTTTGGATGTTTCTTTAAGGCCATCAACAACTATAAGGTACTTTGAGTGTGCCAAGGTTGTGAGTACGTAATCAGTGGGCATGTTTTCTTCTTCTACTGTAATTTTCTTGGCGGTCTCCTTGCCAATTTCTGCAACAAACTGGTATGTCGTACAATTTGAAGGCAGTGACACCCATACGCGACGCTGAAAATGAGCTACAACAGTGTTGTCTTCAAATATCAAATTGGCTAGTGTTGTCTTACCTGTGCCTCCGACTCCAACAATCCAAGTAATGCAGCGACATTTCTCGTCCGACAGTAACTCCGTCATCAGAACTTGTGTGTCATCATCAAATCCAACCAAACTGGATTTCTTGGCAGCGAGATACGGTTGCATCCGTGCACGTAATATTTGAATCTTATATACGACTCGGCTTTGAATTTGCACTAAACCATATGCTTTTCTTCTCCTAGAAGCATCTTCAATTTTGTTTCTGATACCATCTATCTTCTTACTAACAACATGTCGAGTCCAGTACTTACAAATGTAGATGAGAATTGGCTTATGATTCGATTTGGCATCATATTTGTTAAGGACAAATTGAGCTTCAAGGGAAATACCTCTTAGTTGCTCCACCCAGATTCTGGATCTTCCATCTAGTTCTCCCATTCCATTTGCATCCAGAAGCAATGCGTCTATTAATTCCTTTTCCCCTCTGATTAATTGGACCTTCATTTTGAGCCCCATGACTGGCTGATACGAGGAGGAGGCAGCTGCGGCTGGCATAACATCCGAACTTTCATCGTGTTCAACAATGATTTCATCCTCAATATCTCTCTCTTGAATGCTGCTAATTGGGGTTAATAATGGTGTGGGATAATCTTTGAAAATAACAACTTGAATCATGAAGAGATTCTTGATACCATGTACTTTAATCTCAACTTATATTCATGTGCCATCTTCCTCCGCAAGAATTTATGAAATAAACCTTCGGGCATGCTATTTCCTTTTTTATCAAGTTGAACCTTAATCCATGTTTAAAACCAAAGTTCTTGCACAAATATCCAAACAATAGCTTGTACCAATTATTCGCAATACCTTGATCGTCAAGCAACCAAATTTACCATACAAAATATCTTAAATCATGACGTACCCAATCCTAATTGATTAACTTAAGGATAGATGAACTTAATGCAACAATGACATAGTCAACAACCTGTAATGCAAGCATCATATGCATCCTGGATTGATAACAGATCTTGATCTTTTAGAGAAGATCTTAATACACCCCTAGTATTGACAAAACCTTGACCAAATGACAAGCACAACGATAGAATGAGGTGTTTTGAATCATGTACGCGAGATCACAACCTTATGTTATTGACAGGAATACCCTGCAACTTATTGTTCAATAGAAGATAATAACCTTGTAGCTTGATGGAGAAGAAATCCAAAAAAGAGAATGAACCAAAACCCTAATTCCACAGCTTGTTGCCTGAATAAGAAATCATCCCTTATTGGATACGAGCGCCTTAACCACTGGGAAACCCTAGTGTCGCACAAACACTGGACTTTGAACCTCAGAGCTATTTTGAATTAAATGTATGCCATGTTAGTGACCTAATGAAATAGATGCAGATGAATGCAAAAGTCTAAGCCAAAATAAAATAAATTAGGAGGGCAAATTTTGGGGTGCAACAGCAGCGAGCAGTGTTATGATGGCCGGATCGGTGCTCTGAGGGATATGAACTGGTTGTAGGATCTCTGGAAGTTCCCCAACGAGGATCTTGGGACACTTCCGTCCAAGAAATGATGTTCGTCGCGCTTGGCACCGATGGAGTCTGGAGATGCAGTTCGACCGTCGCGGAGGTCGAAGTAATCCTCAAGGTGAGGATGTCCTTGGCCCCCGTCAGTCTTGTGCATTGGGGAAAGTGGAATCTTTCCGAGCAGGAGGAGATCATCATGGTCGGCCATGATTGGTGAATGGAATCTTGAATATATGCTTTAATCTTTGAGTTTCGGGGAAGAAAGATGGGTAGAGTAGGTTTCCCATAGACGGCGCCACCGATATTATCGGTTGATCAGAACCTACAAGATGGTTGGACGATGATGATCTTTAGTTGGGCTGTAATGTCGGGGATGGAAAAAGGGGGTACCTGCAAGGCACTCTGATGATCAAGTGAATGTGGGAGCAAAGAGATACAAGCAAAGTATTAGGGTATTAGTGGTGAATAGTGAATATTCGATACCTAGCCCTCACATGTGTGAGGGTTTATATAATGCCCCTGGCGCATGGCCATTGGTTCCTGTTTTTGAGCCTGGATATGTGGGTCCGCAAAAATAGGTAACTGCCGATATTTGGTCATATCGAGAAGGTGTGCCTGTAACTATCCATTAGAATCAAGGAGGAGGTAGGTTACAAGCAGAAATCTGGTCGGTTCCTAGTTGTCTGTGTGACTTGAGGTCGGGCAGACTGAGAGGTGCCCATCAATCATCGTGGGTCATCACTAGTCCGGGAAGGAAAAGGATCAACGTTTCCCGAGGGAGAGCGGGGGAGATTCGGGCCATGGGCATATGGGCCTTACCGAAATAAGGGGTTAGACTGGGTCCACTCTAGCTGTTTGGCCAGTCCATAACTGTTTTGTAGACACTATCCATAAGACTTGCTTTTACATAGAAGTCCTAGACCCAAAATGTAACACCCCAATTCTACCCTACAAATATATAAATAAATTAGAGTTATAAAATCATTCACGCAAGCGAATCGGGATGTCAAAAAATCATCTTTTAAAAATTCATTGCATTCATCATAGATACGTAACACTTTAAAACATCGGATGAACCATCATCAAAACACTTTAATTAATTAATTCAACAATTCAACATCTACGTAGCAGAATTCTTAATAACATCTTTATCATCATTACAGCAACTTCAAAACAACACAATTTAATAATAACCAACTTAAAGTTCAACAACTGAATAATCAACAATCAAAAGCAACAAGCGTTCATCCCCCCGAGTGTTACATATCAGAGCAATGACACTGACTCAAACTATTGAAGGTATACAGCCTTCACACTCGACTACCTTCACGTTACCAACGTAAGGGCAACATTCAAACAGAAGGGGTCAGATATCTAACAATATAATAAAGTGCATGATAACTAATATATTAAATTGGATCACATAACATCACCACTTCTCATCTCATAGTCAACAATAATCAAAACAATAATACACATTCACAACATCAATACACACTCCTTTATGCAATCATATAATGCGACTGAATACTATGAAAATGCATGTGGTACCATTGGAGCAGAACTCCCGTCTCAAAAATTTCCAATTAATAGAGGAATCAACAAGGCATAAGCCTTCATCTTAATATTCGCCAATACAGGCCATCTCAACGAGCATAAGCTCAATCTCAAAATGCAATGTATGCGATACAATCATGAATGTAATAACAACACCATAATTGACAACATCTCAATACAACACCATCGTTGGCCAAAAGCCTACATCTTAAAAGCATCTCAACATCTCTTCATCAACATCATTTATCATCATAAATCATCAAACATCATTTATACACCATAATTCATCAAAACAAACTCTCATTAACATCACCACATCAACAACTCGGCCGTACAGTACTACAACAACATTCATCAATGTCACAACGTTGGCCATAGACATATACAAGAATATT